AAAAAAAAAGTTTTTATTTTTATTTTAACATAGAAGAACTGGGGTACTCGCCAAAGGTACAGGGGGGTGAGAGAATTCACCAGAGACAGAGTAGGGAGCAGAACAGGCAGATGTACTGAAATACTCTGCTGAGGGGAGCAGTAGGTGAGACTGGAGAGGTTTGCTGAGCCATGTGGGTCACCTCTCTGGCCAAGATGCTGTAGTGACTGCTAATAGACTTAACCCTTGTATCACCAAGGAAGCCCCTGCTCAGCAGTTCTTAAAACAAATATTAATTTATGAATTTCACAGCAATGCTATATTCAGTTTCATTCAATGGTTTTAGATTTCAAAACAAGTGAAAAATATTAATGGGTACTTAAAGGAAATTGTATTTTTCTTTCACATTTGAAAAGATTCAACTTTTTAAAATATGATTTATTTAAACAGTTGTAAAAATGTAATTCAGCTGTGGCAAACTAACTATACTCTGATCAAAAGGGCCATCAGTCAAGTTATTAAACAGCAGGGCAACAAGCCACACAGGGCAGCTGATTAATGCAAAACTTTAGTTCCATGTAGCAAAAGCAATGCAAAACTGTCAAAACTGGAAGAAGGAAATTTTGGCACTGTCTGTCTTACCCTTTTGCAATTATGAAATAGGTACTAACAAACAAGGAGGATTAATGTCCCTGAGAACTAGAATCCAATTTATCAAAAGAATATGTAAAGTGAACACTGTTATTAAAGTAATTCATTACCATGAGAGAGCCTCAAGAGACAGTTTACTATAATGTCAAGAAAACCAACCATTTTAATGGAAAGAAATGGGCACAGCTTTAAAGAACACAAAGTTTGTAAAGTAATAAAAAAAAAGTAAAGTAAATAAGAACTGATGCTCTTCAACTTTTTTCCATTCAACAGCTAAAATTTCCACACCATACTTCACAATGTGCATACACTGTTTTCAGCACTTTACATAAAAATTTTTAATCTCCAAATCTCATTACAGATAAGAAAAGAAGGTACATATTGATGTTACATAAATTTGCTCAAGACTCATGTGAAAATTCAATTTCAAGCAATTTTTTCCAAAATATGCTCTCAATCACTTATATGAAGTTGCTACCTTAGAGTGGATAAAAACAAAATAAATAATAACAACAACATATACATGTTGTAGTATAAGCAGAACACAACAAATGACATGGATAAAATATGCTACAAGAATTTAGGAATCAATGATTATCAAGGTCTAAGAAGAAAAAGGGTGGGTATATGAATATTTTTAATTATCAAATATCCAGCACACCTGTTATCTGCTAAGAATGACCTAGCTCATGAAAACCAGGATGTAAAAAAAAAAAAAAAAAGGGTACAACATGCAATTCCCAGAACTGCAAGAGCCTCCTTACCAAGTCTGCAACTCCTGACTTTTCCTATTGTCAAACCCATTTTAAAATTTCCCAAAACAAAGCTTTGTCCACATTCAAACTTCCACATAAAATCAAGCCTCAACTACTACTGAAGATCCTTCACAAACTCATTTGAATCTTTTCTTCAAATTTTATTTTAAATAGCATATTTATAGTGAACAGTTGAAAAAGTATATAGAGAAGAACCTCCCTCATAACCTTGCTAAATAAGAACCCAAATGCCCTCTCTAGAAGCAATCAAAAATAATTAGAGGCTTGTGTATAAGAATAACCTTCCACATAAGCAAACATCTATGTAATTAGTATTCTCTTTAAAAAGTGAAAACATGGGATTATCATACACATTGATTTGTACGTTAATGTACTCCCACCCCTCCCCAATAAGTTGCCAGTCATTCATATTAGCACATATTAAAGCTACCTCATTTCCATGTTTCAACAGAATTTTAATATATAGATATATCATAAATAAGACCATTAATGAGAGTACTTAATTAGCCTTCCACTGCTAAATAATGCTACAGTAACTACCCTAATATGTATTATTTTTACATATTCTAGAATATCCTTATATATATCTAGAATATGAAGTAAAAAAAAACCTTGTGTACTTATATAAGTATAGCTAAACCTCTCTTCACCCACATAGCACCATTAATAATCTCAATTTCTTCTCTAAATGTTCTATTTACCTTACTCTATGTACTCTTCCCTGAAACTGGTGCTTCCCCTTAAATTCTCCTGCATTCAATGTTTAAATAGTCTTGAACATGGAGTCAGGATCCTTCCTACTTCAGATAATCTCTTAAGAGTCATCTGGACCTCCTTCTCCCCTCCACTACAAACCTCCCAGCTGAAAATCTCCTGTAATTTATAATACTCAATACTGCTCTCTTTGTTACTCCTACCAACTTTGGAGTTTCAATGAGTACCTAGCAAATCTACTCATTATTAATTTTAATTTCAAACGTTCTTCTAAGTGATTATCATAATACCCTCAACTTTGTTTCTTGTCTTCCTCTTCTCCAAAGATCTGATATTCCCTCACATCCACTAAACACAACCAGAATCAATTCCTAGACCTTTTCATTACTAATAACTTCACTATTCCCGCAAATTTAACTTTATACTTTCTGTCATACCATTTTTCACCAGCCATCTCCATTCTTGCCAGCTGACTTGCTGTCTCTAACAATACTTCAAGCCCCAGGCAACCTAGAAATTCAGTGATATTATCACCACTGTCCCTCACATCCTACCCTGACACAAGCTATGCGCCGGCTATCGTCTGATAGATTCCGGGTAGCTCGGGAAAAGCTCTGAAAGATCAGACTTTCCATGCTAACTTGTGTTATGACCTTCCTTTTTTGTATAATCGTAGTATCAAAATATTCTGAGCAACTTTCAGCCTACAATTGGATTGCCTCAGCTGCATAAGGCCTGCCTGCCCTGACAAGCAAGCACTGCACCAGGGTGAGAAATTCCTCTGAAGTCAAAAGTGACTTAACAACTGGCTGATCAATAAAAACAAAAGGGCTGTTTCTGCAAAGTCTCTCACTGCTGGACTGAGGAAAACCCAAATCTTATTCTGCTATCTCACCTAGCCTCCTATTCAGCTTCTACAGAATTACTCAAACCTCCTACTGTCTGGCTTTAGATATGGAAATTCATCCAGGTTGCCTGTTTTAGAGCTAGTCAAGTTTTTTACCTGCTACACTTCAAAGCAATCCACAAAAGTCTTTCTGGCTAGTCTTTCAGGATTCTACTACCTAGTCTTTAGATAAGGAAATTCACCCATGTCTCCTATTTAGAGCAAATTACACTTTCTACTGTCTGGACCTCAAGGAAACTTACTTAAAACCTTTTAGCAAGTTTCTTCAAAGTAGGAAACTTACTTAAAACCTTTTAACGAGTTTCTTGATGAGCAAAAAATTTCCTCTTCCTGCGACCCCAGACCATTTTCTTAGAAAAAAGGTGATTGTGATCTTAACCCCTTTCGTATGCTAATGCCATCCCCCTGCCTACTGGAAATGTATAAAATAAACCTCTGCTAAAGGCAGAGCAGGAAGATTTGCACCCAACTCCGACTCCCGTGTCTTCCTCACTCCCACTCCTTTCCCCCTCTTGGAATCTCCGCACGCCGACGCCTTCCCATCTTAGGGTCCTGCCTGTGTTGCCTCCAGACACCTCAAAAGTTGGAGCTGGTCTCCAACACTACCCCACAAATTCACTTTCTTCTTTACGTGACAAATTTTACTCCATATACAACTCTGTACTCTTTCACCATGTTATATTCTCTTATATCTTGCACTTCCTTGGCAAAAGTAGTGTTTTTGTATGTTCTG